AGGGTTTTTAAATAAGAAAAATGTATTTATAATTAAGAAATTTGTCTACTCCACCCCATCACCTTCACTACTCCACCCACTAAACTTTTCCTCCCATCTTATCACTACCCACCCACCACCCTCACTTCTCCACCCACCCCCCCTCCTTCTCCACCCACCACCATCTCTCACACCCACCATTGCCACTACTCCATCCATCACCATGCCCACCAACCCCATCTTTAAATCCCCCCCCACACACTATTCCCCCAACCCCATGACTACTCCACCACCACCACCCCCACTAATTTCCTCCCCCACCATACTACCCACCCACCCCCCCACTACTTAAACCCCCACCCCCCATACCCACCCACCACCACTACTACTCCCCCACCCCATCACTACCCACCCACCACCATCACTACTCCACCCATCACCATCATACTCCCCCCCCATCACCACCACTACTCCACCCTCCCCCCCCACTACCCCCCCCCACTGCCCCCCATATTTTCCCACCACCACCACCACTTCTCCACCCTCCACCATCCTTCTCCCCCATCATACCCCCAACCCCACCACCACCACCACTTAACCCCCCCCCCCCCCACCAACCACTCCCCCACCCCACCCCCACCACCACCACACTCACCACCACACACCACTATTCCCACCCCCCACTCACTGTCCCACCCCCCCCATCACTGCCCCACCCACCACCACACTGTCCCATCCACCACCATCCACTCCCCCACCACCACACTGCCCCCACCCACCCCCCACACGCTCCACCCACCCCCACACTGCCCCACCCACCACCATCACTGCTCCACCCACCACCATCACTGCTCCACCCACCCCCAAAAACCCACTGCTCCACCCCCACCATCACGCCCCACCCCCACCATCACTGCTCCACCCCCCCACCACCACTGTTTCCCCCACCACCATCCTATTTCATATTAACCCAGTTTACCAGTAACCAGTGTACCAGTAGTTACTCACAAACCAACCGTCTTCCGAGCACTGTCTATTCATTTTGTGCTGCCCACAGCAGTATTCAAAGACCCCCCACAAGGGGTACTGTGGGGGGCCATCAGTTATACGAGAGTGAGCGAGAGAGGCAGGTCGGCGTGGGCCCTTTCCCACATACTTCAGTTACAATATACGTCTTCCAGCCATGTGAGTATTTTTTACCCAACCCAAAACTGTTCAATCCCACATAAAGCTCCACCCACCCCCCATCACCGTCCACCCACCACCATCACCGCTCCAACCCACCACCACACTGCTCCCCCCACCCCACCTATTTCCCACCCCCCCTCACTCCCCATCCACCACCATCACTACTCCACCCACCACCATCCTAACTCCACCCCCCCTTAATGCCCACCCACCACCATCATGCTCCATCCACCACCAAAACCTTCCCATCCACCACCATCACTACTCCCCCCACCACCATCTTTTACTCCACCCCCCCACCATCACACCCCCACCCACCACCACACTCCCCACCCACCACCACACGCCCCACCCCCCACCAACTGCTCCACCACCCCCATCACTACTCCCATCCACCACCATCACTATCCCATCCCCCATCACTACTCCACCCACCCCCATCATACCCCACCCCCCACCATCCTGCTCCCCCCAACCACCATCACTGCTCCATCCACCACCTCACTCTCCCATCCAACCACACTCCCCACCCACCACCATCACTACCCCCCCACCCCATCACTGCCCCACCCACCCCCATCATGCTCCCCCCACCACCATCACGCCCCAAACCCACCCCCATCACTGCCCCATCCCCACCATCACTGCTCATCCACCACCATCATTGCCCATCCACCACCATCACTGCTAACCCACCCCCATCACTACCCACCCACCACCATCACTACCCCACCCCCACCCCATCCTACTCCCCCACCACCATCACACTCCACCCCCACCATCACTACTACCCCCCACCACCATCACTACTCCACCCACCCCATCACACTCCACCCACCACCACACTACTCCACCCACCACCCCCCACTCCCCACCCCCACCATCACTATTTTCCACCCCCCTTTAATGTTTCTGGAGGTTACCCCCCTTCCCCCGGGATATATAAAAGAACCAAAGAAGGGACGGGGCCTCCTACAATGGGGGATTGTTTTATTTTCCAGTTAGTTTTGGAAAGCATGGGGGATGGGACAAAGTCCTGCCTTTTCTGGGTACCGGATTTGATTTGATTCAGAATGTGCCAATTGTGGCGGCGTATCTGGAGCTCGCTCATAATCGGTTTTTGGGTTGCAACTCGAACAAAAAATCGACCGAGCGATGGCTCGTAACTCAAAAAAACTCGTAAGTTGGGGACTCGTAAGTCAAGGTACCATGTAATTAATTAGGATAACCAAAATAAAACTAACTTACTGCCATTTTTTGGGGATATTACCCCTTTTAAAACAATTGTAAAACCATAAGTATTCCCTTTATACATAATGTTAAAGCCCAAAAAACAAAAAAAACATAGAATAAAAATTACTTCACAATTTATACTTTACATTGCAATGCAGTAGTGTCAGGTTGACATTTCCCCATGTTTTAATACTGAAACCCCTTTGAAGCACATATAATGTAAAAACCAGTGTACACGTATAAAACATAAAGTAAAAAAAAACAAAAAAACCAAAATTTTTGTGACAAATTTAAAACAAACATCAGCACCTATTACAGCTGGTTAAAATGACCAAAATTTTTTTAAAGGGGGGTGGCCGGGAAACCAGCGGAAGGCCTCGGTCGATGACCAAAGCCCCAAAGGCGGGTCTCATCTGACAAAGACCCGCGTCGGGAAACATTTTCCTTTTTTCCCTAACGAACCTACCTAACCAACCCTACAGCCTATTTACATCGATGTTGCCAATGATGATTTTTTTTTCCAACTTGTAAATTAGTTTTTAAAGATTACCATTTTTATAAAGATGCACTCTCCTCTAAGGGTTTCTTTCAAAAAACTTTCCACAATACATGAAATTTTTTTTTTCCCGGTATGTCCATTGAGGGGTTTAAAAACTAAGCGGGACAACATAATATGCTTTTTTGCCGCAACTACAAAAACATACAGATAATAACCAAACCAAAATTTTGTCGCCCCCCCCATGATTAAAATTAGGTAAATATAAAAAAAAAATTTTCCAGTAGAAAATTTATGAACCACACTACTACTTAAATTAGTTCTAGAAACTAACACTGCCAAGTCCCGATTCAAACATCTGACCCCCCAATTGCTTAAAAAAATACAATAAACAATACAGAACATGCAGTCCTAAAACCACAAGCAAATGTGTAACCACTGGGCCCTTGCCTCTACAGCAGAGTACCCAACCTTTTAATATAAAGGGCCAATTTGGAAAACCAAATTTCAAGGAGGGGCCCTTACACTGCATGTAATGTATATGTACTGACAACCTTCGGGGTTTCTTCATTTTTTTATTAGTTCTTGTTCTTCTATATTTCTTATCTCCATGGGTAAGTGGAGAAGAATTCTTCTTCCGTAAGCGATGACTGTTGTAAGAGGTGACTAAAATGCAGAGAACAAGGAGCTAGTAACTCCTCCTCCTGTTTAACCCTTTCAGGGTCCAAGGCCCAAATCTGAAGTGGTGCCCCAGTGTCCAAGAATTTTCAAAAAAAAATTTGTTATTTTTTCTTATGAAATGAAAAGGAATCTTTTTTTGAAGGTAATAAAAAAAAAAAGTAGAAATTTGGGGGAAAATTGACAAATTTTGCTCTCGCGAATTTTGATGTGTCAGCGATATTTACGAAACGGGGCGATTTTGGCCGACTGACCCCATTTTAGGGCCCAAATTACTTATTCCAATCAACCAAATTCTTAGCAATTTTACTAGTATTACTTCTATTCATTGATTTACACAAGAAACGCCAATCAACTGTTTCAACTACAAAAAAAGTGTCGGAAATTGTTAATTTGGCCCAATTTAACACAAAGTTTAAAAAATTTTCCAATTTCAAAATAGGCTCCAGAAAAAAACAAAGTAGGTATTCCGGAAAAATAAACTCATTTCCTCTGTTATATTACATTTTGAGGCTTTACAAAAAATTCCATTTTGATTTTTTATTTCCCTAATAATTTTTATTCACAAACCAAAAAAAAAGAAGATTTACTGTTTTTGCAATACTGTAATAATTGTATAAATATCATCACCTATTTGTGATGATATTAGACCCACCCGCTACGTGTATTTGATGTGTGAGGTCGTTTGTTTACTCTTGAATATCGGCAAAAATTTTTAAATTTCCGCTACTTACCAATTTCAAGCCCTTTCCCCGTGCTAAAACCAATCAAAATCTCTCATTTTTTGTAATATGTTCTTCCATTCTATCAAATGGCCAAGAAATCGCAAAACAAATATAAAAAAACATACAAAAAACACGCAAAGTCCGGGGTTTTTAAAACGAAAAAAAATGATTTCATTTTTTTTTTTCTCATTATAAAGTGTGCTGCAGGATCTGTTTTATGTGGGGCACACATACCACATAGAGTAATTCTCTATATTAGGGCCCCAAAAGTACCACTCACGTTTATCGGTGAGCGGCTCATGACGTAGATCTACGGTTTGGGGACTCACCCTAAAGCCGTAGACACGGGGCGGACCCTGAAAGGGTTTAAATTTTCTAATTTTCAAAAGGAAAACTTTTTTTTTTTTTTTAGGTCACCCTGCCTGGTGGGATTGGCCGTTCGTTGGGAAAAAAAAAAAAATTGTAATTGTTGATCAGTTCAGTGTAAAACCTAATAAAAGTGGGTTCATAATTTTATGGAATGCTATTCATAATTTCATGTGAATGCTGCATTAATTTCCCCCGAAGGGCCCTAGGATGGGCAAACCCCCATCTATAGGGGCCATCATAAACACTACAATACCCACAGAAAAGTCAACGTACAAGTGAAACTTTAAAACCCAAAAAATAAAAATTTAAAAAAAAAAGCAATATTTTCTAACCCGTACATGCTGTGGTATTTTTTAAACGAGGTGTAAAAAAATTTCAGGGCCCCTTTAAAACAAGGCACCACTTTTGATTTTTCCCAAAAGGGCCCCTGGCTTAACACCCGGCATTTATTGCAACTGCGTGTTTCCCCCCATCACACGTTTGAGCACGACCACGAAAACTAGCCCCCAGGGATTGCAGACGGCTAAAAATATCCAACCCTTTAGAGTTCCTCACAGTGTAATTGGGACATACAAGCACTTTGACAGTAGGCACTCAGCACTTGAACCAATAAAATACTGAATAAAAAAGGACAATACCGACTGGAACAATGCACAAAAACCCCAAATTGGACCATTTACAAATAACGTGGCTTAACCCTTTGACTGTCGCAAGCCCCTTTTTCAAAATGTCATTTTATTTGGGAAAAAAAAAAAAAAATTTTTTGTCTTATGAAAAAAAAGGAACTTTTCCCAATGGGAATGACACCAAAATAGAAAATTTGATTAAAACTTATGGGTTATCTCCGGCGAAGTTAGCGATTTGGGGATATATATAACACCGGATTTTGCCCACTTTGAGCCTATTTTCGGCCAATTTCCCTTGTTCCACCGACCGAATCATAGTATTTTTTTAAAAATCCATTTTTTTCTTCGTGAGCAAGAACCCGCCCATTTACCAATTTGAACTACCCAAAAAGTGGTCAGATTTTGGGGAAAATTTGGTAATTTCACCAAATTAAAAAGATGCCAATTTCAAAAAAAGAGTCCAGAATAAACAAGGTAGAATTTTGGCACTAAATAAAATATCCTCTGTTCATTACCGTTAAAACCCCCCCCCTTTATTACTCTTGCCAGTTTTTTTAAATCACCAAACAAATATGGGGGAAGATTTACGTTATGAGATATGCATTATTGTAAAAATGGTTAAATAAACGGACGGAAAGAATATTAGCCCACCCTTAGTGTAACTGGATTTTTGGTGTTGTTGTTAATGAACATTGGTAAAAATAAAATTAATCAGGATTTTGAGGGGAATTTTCAAGGTCTTTTTTCATGTGAAACTGGAAAACACCTTTTTCGAATTGTTTTTTCCTTTATCCCATGTGCCAAGAAAAAAGGTGCACCATTACAAAGAAAAACCCTCAAAGGGGCTTTTTTCCAAAAAATGGTTTAGTTTTTTTTTATAGACTGGTGTGCAGGATTTTTTATTATTGTGAACTGACCCCGCCCCTTCTCTAATTGGCCCCCCTTTTTCCCGCTTGATTTTAAGCTGCAAGAATTATTGAGTATATATACAGTGGACCCCGGTTCGCAAAAGCCATCGGTATCCGAAAAACCCGGGTATCCGAAAGCATTATATCGCAAAAAATTTGCCTCGGTTCCAGTTACAAAACCCCGGTATGCATACGATTCGTACGAGACGTGTCCAGTGTTTACAAGCCAGCCAGTTGCGCGGCATCTAAGGATACATTCCCGATACATTCTATATTATCCATATTACCACTGTTTTTGGTGCTTGTTTCTGCAAAATAAGTCACCATGGGCCCCAAGAAAGCTTCTAGTGCCAACCCATCGAGACCAAGGGTGCTAATGACTATTGAAATTAAGGAAATGTGTGCGAAGTGGCTTGAAGTGCAAACCTTTTTTGAGGGAAAATCACCCTGACACAGCTACTGCAAGCCATGTTGGCAACCTGTACACTGACAATGTTGTGAACCACTTTATGAAAGTCATAAAGGAACGAGAGGTACAGGCCTCTATGGACAGATATGTTGTGCGACAGAAGTCCAGTGACTCTCAAGCTGGTCCTAGTGGCATTAAAAGAAGAAGGGAAGTAACCCCGGAAAAGAACTTACTACCTCAAGTCCTAATGGAGAGGGATTCCCCTTCTAAACTTTAAAAACTTCAACACTCTCCCCTCCTCCCATCCCATCAATCATCACCAGATCTTCATTAACCCCTTGACTGTCGCAACCCCCAATCCTGAGGTGTCTCCTGGTGTCGAAAAATTTAAAAAAAAAAAAAAAAATAATTTTTCTTATGAAATGATAGAGAATCTTTTCCCGATTGTAGTGACACCAAAAAAAAAACGAAATTTGATGGGAAACTGACGGAATTATATTCTCGCGAAGTTAGCGACCTCGGCGCTGTTTACAAATCGGCGAATTCGCCCACTTTGAGCCCTATTTTCGGCTAATTCCGTTGTTCCAGTCGCCCAAACTCATAGCTATTTCTTTAGAACTCCATTTTTTCTATCGATTGAGTACAAGAAACTGCCCATTTACCGATTTCAACTACCTAATAATGTGGTCAGAAATTTGTAATTTGGCCAATTTCACGAAAACTAAAAAATATGACAATTTCAAGATAAGGTCCAGAATGAACAATGCAGACATTCCTGGCTCTAAAATAAACATTTTCTTTGTTCATTCAGTCATGTCTCCAGGCCCCTCTGATATTACTCTTGCTTTCTATTTTGAATTTTTATTCAAACAAAAAATAGAAGACTTACTATTATGCAGACTACTGCAATACTGTAATAATTGTATAAATAACATCAACCCCTTCATGACTGCATATTAGAATGGCTAGTTGGACATTTATTGGACAATGGCATCATTTGTTTACTTTTGAACATTGGCAAAAATCAAACATTTCCCCTACTTTGAGCTCCAATTCTAGGTTCTTTTTGTAGTAAAATCAATCAAAATCACCTCTATTTCTATAATATGTTTTCCATTCTATCAAATGAGACCAAGATAACAAGAATACAACCATAAATACTATACGAAAATAGACCACAAAGTCGGCATTTTAATTAAAAAAAAACGGTCTGAGTTTTTTTTTCTCATTATGCACTGCGTGCTCCAGGATTTTTTTTATATGGTGCACACTGACCACACAGACCCATTCTCTCACATGTGGGCCTACCAGCTTTCTCCTGCTTGATTTGAAGCCGCTAGAATTTATGAGTATATATACGTAAAACACGGTACCTCGTAAGACGTATATATACGGCCTCGACAGTCAAAGGGTTAAAGGTAAGTGTCAATTATTCTATTGTGATTATTCTATTGTTATTGTAATTATTATATTGCATTAAACTTAATATATCATGTGGTAAAATTTTTTTTTTTTTTCATATTTTGGGTGTCTTGCACGGATTAATTTGATTTCCATTATTTCTTATGGGGAATATTGATTCGCTTTCAGATAATTTTGGTTTACGATGAGCTCTCAGGAATGGATTAATATCATGAACCGGGGGTCCACTGTACGTCCAAAACACCGGCTCGTGAGACACATATATACAGCTGAAACAATCAAAGGGTTAAAGGGTCCAAGTCAGACCAAAATGTCGTCATAACCTCTCCCTCCCCTATGTGCAGGTTATTTGTGAAATATCTATTATACAACACAACAATGACAAAGATCAAATTAAATCTACAGACATGATTAACACAAATGCTATTATACCAAAATAAATAACAAAAAAGGCGCAATACCGTGACTGGAACGATACACAAATAACCTGCACATAGAAGAGAGGAGCTCATGACGACATTTCAGTCCGACTTGGACCGACTTGGATGACAGTCAATAAACTTACACTTAACACTGACAAAACCTACTATATTATGTTTGGTAGCCGAGCAGGTGCTGCGCAACTTAACATTAAGATCGGCAGCACTCTAATTGCCAGACATAATGAGGGCAAATTTCTAGGCCTATACCTTGACAACAACCTGAATTTCAGCACCCATATCCAACTCATCAAAAAAAGTATCCAAAACAGTTGGGATCCTCTCTAAGATACGATACTATGTGCCGCAAAATGCCCTTCTCACACTATACCATTCACTCATTTATCCATACCTCACCTATGCTATTTGTGCTTGGGGATCAACTGCAGCAATACACCTAAAGCCAATAATAACTCAACAAAAAGCTGCAATAAGAATAATCACTAATTCCCATCCCTGGCAACACCCCTCCACTCTTCATAGACCTAAACTTACTCCCTGTTCAGAACATCCACACTTACTACTGTGCAATCTACATATACAGGACCTTAAATTCCAATATTAACCTTGACCTAAAATGCTTTCTTGATAGTTGTGACAGGACCCACAGGCATAACACCAGACACAAACACCTCTACGACATTCCCCGTGTCCGACTAAACCTTTACAAAAACTCAATGTATGTCAAAGGCCCTAAAATCTGGAAAACACTACCTGAAAACTCGAGAACAGCAGACACATTCATCACCTTCAAAACTACTGTTAGAAAACATCTTATCTCCCCGAGATGCCCCATCAACTAACTACATAAAAACCACCTGGTGGTCCACATTTACACTCATTCACTCACCCATTTGACTATGAGCACAGAAATACGTATCCTAATCTTAAAATAATGATTCCAAACTAGTCATAAGTTTGCCTGTGATACTACAATATAGAAACTATGTATTGTGCCAAAACAAACGCATTCACATTGCTAAACTCACAAACTAGTATTTGTCACTTAGTATTTAGTCAACTTACTCCACAATTTGTTATAATTTAGGGTTAAGAATTAATCTAAGTTTGCCCGAAATGCCTAGCCATGCTAGGTGTTCTAGTGGCCCCCTCTGTAATTATTTTACTACATGTAAACCACACAACCAAAATCTGTAAACCCTGCATCGTAATACTTACAGAGAATAAACTGATTTGATTTGATTTGATTATACCAAATTATAATAATCAGTATCAGTTAAAAAAAAGGGTAATGTTGAAGACCCCCTCTCCTAAAAAGTTCAGAGATCCTTACAAGGATCATGCGGAAAGGCAGATCAGATATGGGATCACAAATATCAAAAATGTCTGCAGTAATAATAATAATTATTTCTACAAGTACATAAGAACATAAGAAAGGGGGAAAAACCCTGAGGGGGCCCTGCCCCCCCAAATAGGGGGTCCTTTACAATTTTTCCCAAAACAAAAATTTCCCCAACCCAATTTTAAATCCCACCAAGAAATAAGCTTGATGTGAAAGCCCCACTAAATCCAAACCCCCCCATTTGTGTACTTACCCAAAACCTAGATTTAAAATACCCAAAGCCCCCTAACCCAACTGGGTAGCTTTTCCCCACTTAAAACTACCCTTTTTTCCAAACCCAATATTCCTATGTCCTTTCAAAAATCTAAACTTACAAATTTTAAAAATCCATTACTGGGGGTTTCTTCTCTTGGAGAGACATCCTCAAGACCTTATTAATATCCCCTTTATTAATACCTATCTTCCACTTTACACTTCGATCAGGTCTCCCCTCATTCTTCGTCTAACAAGTGAATGTAACTTAAGAGTCTTCAATCTTTCTTCAATAAGGAAGATTTCTAATGCTATGTATTAATTTTAGCCATCCTACGCTGAATGTTTTCTAACGAATTTATGTCCATTTTGTAATACGGAGACCAGAACTGAGCTGCATAATCTAGGTGGGGCCTTAATAATGATGTATAAGCTGCAGTATGACCTCTGGACTTCTGTTGCTACACTTCTTGATATAAATCCCAGTAATCTATTTGCCCTTTTTACGTACGCTTAGGCATTGCTGTCTTCGTTTAAAGGTTGCTGCTCACCCCCTAACCCCCAAATCCTTTTCGCAATCTGTATGGCTAAGTTCTTTCATCTTTAACTTATAAGTACTAGGGTTATGGGCACTCCCAAGCTTCAGATCCTTGCATTTATCTACATTGAACTGCATCTGCCACTTTCTGACCAAGAATATAGTTTTTTTAAATCCTCCTGAAGTTCCATAACATCTACGTTTGGGAAACAATTATCCTACCTATCTTTGTGTATCGGCGAATTTGCTCATATCACTAGTAATTCCTCATCAAGATCATTTAATATTATAAAACAACAACAGGCCCAAGACTGATCCCTGTTGGAACGCCATTGTTACAGATCCCCACTCGGATTTAACCCATTTATGGACACTCTCTGCTTCCTGTCAGTGAGCCATGACTCGATCCACGAGAGCACTTTTTCCCCCCCTGCCATGAGCTGCCACTTTCTTTAACAGTCTATGGTGCGGAACTCTATCAAAAGCCTTACTAAAATCTAAGTAAATAATATCAAATTCTTATTGTGGTCAACAGCCTCAAAACTTTACTGAAGAAAGTTAATAAATTAGTTAGACAAGACCGGCCCTTTGTGAATCCATGCTGAGTATCATTAATCAAGCTATGCTTATCGAGATGGCTTCTTATAATCTCAGCTATAATTGGGCTCTAGTAATTGCCTACAATTGGGTCAGGCTTATTGGGCGTAATTTGACGGTAACGACTTGTCCCCTGTTTTAAAAAAGGGGTTACATTACCATTTTCCCCACTACAGACACTACCCCTTTTAAGAGATAAATTAAAAAATTTAGTTAATGGTTCACGGGTTTCCCCATTTGCTTTCCCTTAAAAACCCTTGAAAAAACCTCATCAGGACCGGCGACTTTTTGCTTCATATTCTATTGCTTCAAAACCATCTCACAGTGAAGTGTGGTTACAAAATTTTATCTTCTTCTAGCCCACTTAAAAATTTTTTTACGGAATATTGTTAGTGTCTCCTGGAAAAAACGGAAAAAATAATTTTTTAAAATCAAGAAATTTCATTCTCTTGCCCAGTAAGGTCCCCATAGTTTTTTTTAAAAAGGGGGGACCTATCTTATCTCTAACTTTTGTTTATGACCGGAAAAAATTTTTGGGGTTGTTTTAGAATCCCTAGAAAATTTTAAAATTTCAAGTCCCTTTTGCTTTTCTTATCCCCTTTTTAATGTCCCCTCTTAATGTCAAATACTGTTTCATAAGAGACCCTCACCTTTTTTGATCCCTAAAAATTTTTTCTTATCCCTAGTAGTATTTGAGCCTATTTTTCACCCATTTGGGTATTTCTATTTGACTAATTTTCTTTAGGGTAAACGCTCTTTTGAGCACATGTATAGGTTCAAAAAAACTGCCCCTATTGTAGCTTCTTTTTCCCCCCCTCAACAGATGTAAGGTTCTCTAAGCCCATGAATTTCCAAGCAAAAATCTGGGACTTTTTTTACTGATTTATCGCTACTATGTACTTCCATTCAATGCAAAAATTAAATTTTGATTGTGGTCGCTAGCACCCATTTCCCTCAAATTTCAAATTATTAACAAGGGATTCATTGTTTGCCAAAAACAAGTAAAAAGGCAGGTTATTTCCCCCCTTGTAGGTTCTGTCACAAACTGCTTAAAAAACAATCCGAAATACTTTAAGAAGTTTATATTCTAAATTCCCCAGTCAAGAAATTCCAATCAACATAAATAAGTTAAAGTCCCCCTGAATTACTACTTTTATCTGCCTTGGGCCTTAATTTTCCCCCCATATATTTCCCTTTCCTATCTAATTTGGGGACGGTATATCACTCCTAAAATCATTTTTTTTTCTGCCCCTCGAAAATTCTATCCAAACAGCCCTTGTATTTTATTTTCAAAATTAATACCCTTTTTATGCAACATTCAAGCGTCTGGGACATACAATGCCACCCCACCCCCCCCCAATACTTCTATCTTTTGGAAACAATTTAAAACCCTGAATATACTTCCGCAGGCATGTCCCGACTTTTGAATTAAACCCCGTCCAGTTAAGGAAAATACATAATTTTCCCTCACTAGCAACTAATCTAACTCGTCCTCTTATTCCTAGCACTAGGCAATTAGCAAAAACAATTAAAAAATTTTCCCTTTCTCTTTACCCTTCTGCTCTTTTCTTTTTCTACTAAACCTATTAGTCCTTATCCCCCAAGGTCCCGGGTTTTAATATCATCTCTTCTTATTATTATATTCCCCCTAGAACTCGAAATATTACTACACTGGGACTCACTGTTTTCCTGCCAAAACCCTTACCACTAACTATTCCTAGTTTAAAGCCCCTAATGCTCCCCCCCACGCAGTTGCCATGCTCCCACCCCACACCTAGTAAGTGAACCCCAAACCCTAGCTACACACAACTTACAAAACCTAGCTGATATAATGACAACTATATAAAAGCCCTCCTTATGAGAGCATTTTGGCAAATTAGGTTAATTTTGTCCCCAGATGCGACCCACACCATCGGCAACCCCCATACGGAATTATTTATGCTAGAGAATGGGACGAGTTTTTCGGGAATTTTTTGGGGGTTTTGGGGGATCAACCCCCTTTTGGCTCACTGTACCAAGCCTTCAGTGGTTTGGGGGCCCAATCAACCAGGCTGTTACTGTGGTCACCAAACTGATAAACCCACGGGCCACTGGTCAGGACTACTTCGATGCCGGCTAGTGCCTTCTTAAGCAGCCGGGGGTCTAGGGGGTAACCCCCCCTTATTAGCTGGGAAAAAAGTTAAAAAATTTTTGGGGGCCCCTGAACTTATTAGTTTTCTCTCATGAAAATCATGACCCCCTGCTTTTTCACGGGAGGGATTTGCACTGCCACCGAGTCCCTTTGCTTTTGTAGGGATGATTTTCATGTAAAATTTGGTACTAATCCCTCTGGGATTTTCAAGCGTATATTATCATGCATCTTTTTTGCCTGCATTCCAGGGAAAAAATAAAGGGAACTTAACCATTTTCAGGAATCTCAACCAAATTGGGGATAAAACATAGCCCACTATATTGACCAAGTGAGCAAAACCAACAAGTACGAGAAAAACCACAAAAAGCTAAACAGATGAAAAAAAAAAGGACAAAAATCTATCTCTCCCCCCTTGAATGACTGCTTTTGTAATTACTTAGCCAAACCTAAAAAAATTTTTTTTTTTTCCTTTTTTTGAACTATGCAAAATAATTATAATTTTTTTTTTTTAACAAGTCGGCCATCTCCACCGAGGCAGGGTGACCCAAAAAGAAAATCCAAAAAATGAAAAATTTTCATTGTCAACAAACCTTTACCTCACTCACCAATCACTTTTCTGCAGAGGTGCTCGAACACAACAGTTTTTGAAGCATAACGTATAAAGAACACAACATACCCCACAAATCAAAAACATTGTATCCTAATCCCTCCATTGAGTGCAGGCATTGTACTTCCCAAATTTCCCGGGCTCAATCCGGCTATATAAAAAAAAACCCGGTTTTTTGCTGAAACCCCCCCAAAAAATTTTTCCCCGCTCACACTCCAAGATCTCGGTCAAAAAACCATTTGTCTCCCTTCACTCCTATCGAACACGCTCATCCACCCCGCTGGAAGTCCGAACCCCATGCCCCCAAAACCTCCCCTTACCTTTTTCCAAACCTTTTTTTAGGACGACCCCTACCCCCTTCCCCCCCTAAGATTTATAACCCCTTTCCATGTCATTCACTTGGTCCATTCTCTTAAATGACCCAAACCATTTAACAACCCCCTTCAGTCCTCGACTAAACTTTTAACACCCCCCACACCTCCTAATTTCCAAACACCGAATTTTTGCCTAATACTTACACCAAACATTTCCCTTAACAGGGCATTCCACTGCCTCCCAACGCCTCCTCGCTCTGTTCAAACCCAAGCTTCACACCCCTAAAGAAAGGGGTTTGGTACTACTATACTTTTCATACATTCCCTTCTTTTTCCTCCCAAAATAATGTTTTTTTTTTCCACATATACCTCAATGCACCCCTCACCTTTTTTTCCCCCATCAATTCCCTTAAAAACCTCATCCTACATAAAATCCATCCGCCCACATGCAAATCCAATAACTGAAAACGTCACTTTTTCCATACAACCCCCCCATTTGTATCCCAAATTTTTTTTACTAAATCATTTTTATACCCCACACCTTTCTTTTTCTATGTTCACTTTCAACTTTTACTTTCCAAACTCCCAAACTCTCCCCCAACCTTTGCAATTTTTCTTAGAATCTCCCCTAAACACAGTATCATCAGCAAAAAACAACTGTGTCAATTCCATTTTGTATTTGATTCCCCATAAATTTTTTTTCCCCCCCTCTCCCAAACACCCTAACTTTATATCTTTTTACAACCCCCATCTAAAAAATATTAAACAAAACCCTGGGGACATTACACATCCCTGTCTAAACCTACTTTTACTGGAAGTTTCTCCCTTCTTCACACACCCTAACTAGCATGCTATCCTCATAAAAACTCTTTTTCAGCATTTAGTAATTACCACCCTATTCCATATATATTGCAAAATCTGAAAAAATTGCTCCCTGTCCCCCCTATCATATTTCCTTTTCCTAAAACCATAAAAGCAATAAAAAAATTCCCTACCTTTATCTAATAGTTCACATTAGCCTTAAAAAGGAAAACCCTTTATCTAACTCCCCACCCACTCTGAAAACCTCCTTTTTCATCCGCAATCCTACATTTTTTCTTTCCTCTAATTCTTTCAATTTTAACCCCAAAACCCTACCTTTTTTTCCTGGTATAACTCGGTAAAAAATTCCTCTTAATTTTTTAAAAATACTTTTTTTCCCCTTCCCCTTTAATAAAAGGATTAACATCTCCATGCCCAAACCCAGGTACCTCCCCCCCTTTCAACATTTTTTTAACCCTTTCAGGTCCAGAGGGCCAAAATTTCAAAATGAACCAGGGGGCCAAAAATTTTCAAAACAAATTTTTTGTTTTTTTTTCTTATGAAATGGTAGAGAATCTTTTTTTGGATGTAATAAAAACAAAAGTACAAATTTTATGGGGAAAATGAGAAATTATGCTTCCAAATTTTTTTTGGGGTCAGCGATATTTACGAATCGGGGATTTTGCCGACTTTGACCCTATTTTCGGCCCAAATTCTTATTCCAGTGACCAAATTCTTAGCTATTTTCACTAGTATTACTTTTTTCTATCGACTGAGCACAATAAATGCCCAAATCAACTTTTCAACTACAAAAAAAAGTGATCGGAAAATGGGAAATTTGGGCCAATTAACACAAATTTTTAAAATATTCCAAGTTTAAAAAGGTCCAAATAACAATTAGGTTTCCTGGCACTAAAATAAATTTTCCTCTGTTCATTAGTTATGTTTTGGGGGCTTTACAAATGAATTCCATTTTTTTTTTTTATTCACAATGAATTTTTATTCAAAAAAAAAAATAGAAGATTAAAGTTTTAAAAAAATTGTAATAATTGTATAAATACACCACATTTTTTTGAATGGTATTTGACCCACACTGGTGTGTATTGACGTGTGAGGCATTTTTTTACTCTTGAACATCGACAAAAATTTTTCATTTTGTACTTTTTTAGCCATTTTCAAGCCAATTTCCTACTAAAACCAAACAAAATCTCTCAAAATTCCCGTAATATAGCTTCCATTCTATAATTTTAACCAAGAAACCAAATAAACTAAAAAAAATAGAAAAATACTGCAAATTCGCTTTTTTTAAACGAAAATCCGGTCCGTTTTTTTTTCTCTTTGTTAAACACTGTGCCCGCAGGATTTGTTTTTTTGTGGTGACACATAACACATAGATGTTTCTCTCTATCTAGGGGCCCAAGTACCACTCCAAAATTATCAGAGTGAGCCAGCCATGGCATAATCTACGGTTTTGGGCCCTGAACATAAAGCCGTAAATCTACACACGGACCCCGAAAGGTTAAACAAAAATAACCCAACCATCCAACACTTTATCCCCCCCGCTTTTAAAAATTTGTCATGATCCCCTCATTTCAGCTGTTTTACCCCCCCTTTTATTACGTAAACCTCACGCACCCCCCCCACACTCACATCCTGTTCTTCACTCCTAAAAGATGGTGTACCTCCCTGGCCAGTGCATGAAATTACCGCTTCCCTTTCTTCGTTGACATTTTAAAGTACATGTACCTCAAAATATTCTCGCCATCTACCCAAAACCTCCAACTCCCCATCTACTAACTCCCCTACTCTGTTTTAACTGACAAATCCATTCACTCTCTAGGCTTTCCTAACTTGTTTAACTCACTCCAAATTTTTTTCTTATTTTCATTGGAATTTCTTGACAGTGCCTCTCCCACTATCATCTGCTCTCCTTTTGCACTCTCTCACCACTCTTCACCTTTCTTTTACTCTCCATATACTCTGCTCTTCTTATAACACTTCTGCTTTGTAAAAACCTCTCATAAGCTAACTTTTTCTCTTTTATCACGCCCTTTACTTCATCATTCCACCAATTGCTCCTCTTTCCTCCTGCCCCCACCCTCCTATAACCACAAACTTCTGCCCCACATTCTGATACTGCATTTTTAAAACTATTCCAACCCTCTTCAACCCCCCCACTTCTCATACTTGCACCAGCCCACCTTTCTGCCAAGAGTTGCTTATATCTCACCCGAACTTTCTCCTCCCTTAGTTTATACACTTTTACCTCCCTCTTGCTTGTTGTTGCCATTTTCCTCTTTTCCCATCTACCTCTTGCTCTAACTGTAGCTACAACTAAATAATAATCCGATATATCAGTTGCCCCTCTATAAACGTGTACATCCTGGAGCCTACCCATCAACCTTTTATCCACCAATACATAATCTAACAAACTTCCATTATGTGCTATATCATACCTTGTATAAACCATACCCCCGGCCGGGATTGAACCCGCGGTCATAGAGTCTCATAACTCCAGCCCGTCGCGTTAGCCACTAGACCAGCTAGCCACAATAAGATTCATCCAACTAGGTATATTTCTACACCATAGGAAGGTTAGCACAGGCACCTCTGTGACCACAAATGCAAGTTTTTACAGAGGTCACAGAGGTGCCTGTGCTAACCTTCCTATGGTGTAGAAATATACCTAGTTGGATGAATCTTATTGTGGCTAGCTGGTCTAGTGGCTAACGCGACGGGCTGGAGTTATGAGACTATGACCGCGGGTTCAATCCCAGCCGGGGGTATGGTTTGTTTGCAATCGTGTCATTACAATTTCTTAAGTCATGTTGACGGCAGTGAAGGGACTTGAGCCAGAGATCGTCACGGCCACGCTAGCTGGAGATTCGTCTGTAAAAACTTGCATTTGTGGTCACAGAGGTGCCTGTGCTAACCTTCCTATGGTGTAGAAATATACCTAGTTAGATGAATCTTATTGTGGCTAGCTGGTCTAGTGGCTAACGCGACGGGCTGGAGTTATGAGACTATGACTGCGGGTTCAATCCCGGCCGGGGGTATGGTTTGTCTGCAATCGTGTCATTACGATTTCTTAAGTCATACCTTGTATATTTATTTATCCTCTTCTTCATAAAATATGTATTGCTTATTACCAAACCTCTTTCTACACATAGCTCAATTAAAGGCTCCCCATTTTCATTTACCCCTAGCACCCCAAATTTACTTACTACTCCCTCCACATTTTTAACCACTTTAGCATTGAAATCCTCAATGACCATTACTCTCACACTTGTTTCAAAACTCCCCACGCATTCAGTCGACATTTCCCAAAATCTCTCTCTGTCTACACTTCTCTCTTCTCCAGGTGCATATACGATTACTATAACCCACTTCTCACATCCAACCTTTATTTTACTCCACATAATCTTTGAATTAATACATTTATAGTCCTTCTTTTCCTGCCATAACTTATCCTTCAACATTATTGCTACTCCTCCTTTAGCTCTAACTCTATTTAAAACCCTTGACCTAATCCCATTTATTCCTCTCCACTGAAACTCTCCCACCCCCTTCAACTTTGTTTCACTTAAAGCCAGGACATCCAGCTTCTTCTCATTCATAACATCCACAATCATCTCTTTCTTAACATTGCACAACATCCACGCACATTCAGACTTCCCACTTTGACAATTTTCTTCTTATTCTTTTTAGTAATTATTACAGGAAAAGGGGTTACTAGCCCATTGTTCCCGGCATTTTAGTTGACTTTTACAACACGCATGGCTTATGGAGGAAAGAATCTTATTCCACTTCCCCATGGATATAAAAGGAAAAGTAATAAGACCAAGAACTATTAAGATAAAATCAAAGAAAACTCAGATGAGTGTGTATAAATAAACATGTACATGTATGTGTAGTGTGACCTAAGTGTAAGTAGAAGTAGCAAGACATACCTGTAATCTTGCATATTTATGAGACAGACAAAAGACACCAGCAATCCTACCATCATGTAAAACAATTACAGGCTTTCGTTTCACACTCACCTGGCAGGATGGTAGTACATCCCTGGGTGGTACTACTGACCTACTACCTACCTGTCTACCAAGCTACTACCTACTTGTAAATAAAAAATGTTATTTACAAGATTCAATTATAAAAAAATTAAGCTAATCCGAGTTTCTAAAAAAAAAAATATTTGGCCCAAAACAGACATTATTCAAATAACCAGTACACAGGAGGAATACTGGAGTACCAGTTAAGGGTTCGGGACTGAAATGGTGCAAGTTTTTCTCCTATTGGTGTGTTATTTGCTTGTTGTTCCAGATACAGTATTATGCCTTTTTATTCTTTACTCAAAGACATTTTAGTACTTGTATAATGAACTTTAATCTGTAAAAGTACAATAATCAATTGCAAGGATAAGGACATTACTAATCAAACTGAGTACCTCTGCTCTGAGCTGGTGTATCACACAACGAATAACATCAAATAAATGCTACAATAAACAACAAAATTGTTGATGGAATATGTAGTGTAACTTTCACTATATAATACAGTATCCATGCATGTTAATTTTGGGGGATTTTTCTTTCTTTTTTGGGTCACCCTGCCTTGGTGGGAGACGGCCGACTTGTTGAAAAAAAAAAATGTTAATTTGAACTTTATTAGTATTCCAGTGGATAATGTCGACCCTATGTTGCTCTCAACTGGGGTTCTTGCTAGCCCCTATTTTTAAGAGCTACACTGGTTCCATATTGAGGCAAGAATCCAATTTAAATTTTGTGTATTAACATTGAAAGCTATAAAGCTGAATGAAGAACTATCTCAAAAAAACATGCTTCTATCTTTTACATCATGCTTGGAAAGGTTTCTGAAAATTTCCGAAGACCCTTTTAGCTAGCACTATACAGTTGGGGATAAATCGTTCACAGAAAGCCTTTTCTTGTGTAGTTTCTACATTGCTCAACAGGCTACCAGTTTGTGTTACGAATCAGGAATCTGGCCGTGTCTCCAAGTTTCAGCTGAATGCACATCTCCTTTCGAGAGTTTATGATCTTCATCATACTGTCACTCCACGATATAAACTTTAGTATTTCACATCACTGTTATTCCATTTATGGCTTGGTGTGCAAGCACTTTGTAATGTCTTGAAATGAGGTGTTCAAGAAAAGCATTCCAAAATTATTTGTTTTCTTATTACAACCTACCAAACAAGTCTTATGCATAGCTTAAAAATATTCTAAATACATTTTATATACATATTGTACAGCTGACCCTTGAACAACACTGGTTTGAACTGCACAGATCTAATCATATGCAGATTTTTTCAATAAGTACTTTTTTTTTGGGGGGGGGGGGGCATGGGGGAGAATGATTTGACTGAAAAAAACTAAGAAAGAGTTAGACAAGTCATGAATTAATAGAATACACACACAAATCTCCAGGACTCGAGTCCGGCAGGCCGGACTTGAGTCCTGGAGATGGGAAGTACAGTGCCTGCACTCTGAAGGAGGGGTGTTAATGTTGCAGTTTTATAACTAGTGTAGGCATGCCTCTGGCAAGACAGTGATCGAGTGAATGATGATGAAAATTCTTTTTTGGGCCACCCTGCCTTGGTGGGAAATGGCTGATATGTTAATAAAAAAAGAAAGTATTATAAAAAGTCAGAATTTATGAAAACTTGTGCACACAAACAATTACAGACTGTATATGTTCCATTTGCAGTCGAGAGAGATTTAAAGAAACAAAGATTCAGTATTAAATCATAAATATGAATTTCTTTTTCACGCTATCTTTTCATTATTGATGCTTAGTGCTAGTAATACATATAACATCTACAGCATTATTTATCACACAAGACAATATTGATATAGGTACTGACGGACAATTCATCTTATAAACAGACCACATAAACTTACTGTATCAATAAATATGGTACAGTACTGTAAACATTTTATCTTCACGATTTTCTTAACATTTTCTTTCCTCTAGCTTACTTTACTGTAAGAATACAGTATAAAATACATATAAATACAGAATGTGTGTTTATCAACTGTATGTTATCACTAAGGCTTCTGCTCAACAGTTGGCTATTAGTACAGTGGACCCCCGCCTTAAGATATTAATCTGTTCCTGAGAGCTCATTGTAAGCCGAAATTATCGTAAGGCGAATTAATTTTCTCCATAAGAAATAATGGAAATCAAATTAATCCGTGCAAGACACCCCAAAGAATGAAAAAAAAAAAAAATTTACCACATGAAATATTAATTTTAATACACACAAACTGAAGGTGGCATGCACAATTACTACTCTACTAAGAATAGAATACATGACACTTACCTTTATTGAAGATCTGGTGATGATTGATGGGATGGGAGGAGGGGAGAGTGTGGAAGTTGTTATTGTTTAGAAGGGGAATCTCCTTCCATTAGGACTTGCGGTATTAAGTCCTTTTCCGGGGTTACTTCCCTTCTCTTAATGCCACTAGGGCCAGCTTGAGCGTCACTGGACCTCTGTCGCACAACAAATCTGTCCATAGAGCTCTGTACCTCCCGTTCCTTTAAGACTTTTCTAAAATGGGCCATAACATTGTCATTGTACAGGTTGTCAACACGGCTTGCAGTAGCTGTGTCAGGGTGATTTTCATCTGCAGAGGTTTGCAGTTTGACCCACTTTGCACACATTTCCTTAATCTTTGAAGTAGGCAACTTCCTTAATTTCTCTCTCCCCTCCTCTGAAGCAGTTTCCTCAGGTCTTGCCTCTTGCTGTTGAAGATGATCTTGCAGCTCATTAGTGGTTAGTTCTTCACTGTCCTCCTCCACCAACTCTTCCACATCCTCCCCACTAACCTCCAACCCCAAGGACTTCCCCAATGCCACAACTGATTCCTCAACTGGCATAAGCTTCTCAGGGTTAGCCCCAAACTCTTCAAAATCCATTTCTTCTACACATTGTGGCCACAGTTTCTTCCAAGCAAAGTTCAAGGTCCTCTTAGTCACTCCCTCCCAAGCCTTACCTATAAGGTTTACACAACTGAGGATACTAAAGTGATCCTTCCAAAACTCTTAGAGTCAATCGAGTGTCTGAGGTCACTTCAAAGCACTTCTGAAACAGCTTTTGTGTAGAGTTTTTTGAAGTTTGAAATGACCTGCTGGTCCATGGGCTGCAGGAGAGGAGTGGTATTAGGAGGCAAAAACTTGACCTTAATGAAGCTCATGTCCCCAGAAAGTCGCTCTGCCAAGTCTGAAGGATGACCAGGAGCATTGTCTAATACCAGGAGGCACTTAAGGTCCAATTTCTTTTCCATTAGGTAATTTTTCACATTGGGGGCAAATGCATGGTGTAACCAGTCATAGAAAAAGTCCCTAGTGACCCATGCCTTACTGTTTGCTCTCCACATCACACACAAATTAGCCTTGAGGACATTGTTTTTTGCCTGAATGCACTGGGAGTTTCAGAGCGATACATCAATAAAGGCTTAACTTTGCAATCACCACTAGCATTAACACACATCAGAAGAGTAAGCCTGTCTTTCATAGGCTTATGTCCTGGAAGTGCCTTTTCCTCCTGAGTAATGTAGGTCCTGCTTGGCAATTTCTTCCAAAACAGGCCTGTTTCATCACAATTAAACACTTGTTCAGGTTTCAATTCTTCACTGTCTATGTACTCCTCGAGTTCCTTCACATATTTTTCAGCCGCTTTTTGGTCCGAACTGGCAGCCTCACCATGCCTTATCACAATATGCCACTACAATTCTTAAATCTCTCAAACCAACCTTTGCTGGCCTTAAATTCACTCACATCACCACTAGTTGCAGGCATTTTTCTAATTAAATCGTCATGCAACTTCCTAGCCTTTTCACATATGATCGCTTGAGATATGCCATCTCCTGCTATCTGTTTTTCATTTATCCACACCAATAACAGTCTCTCAGCATCTATCATTTGCGATCTTTGTTTCGAAAACAAACTTGCACCTTTTGCAAGAACAGCTTCCTTGATTGCCATTTTGTTGGCCAAGATAGTAGCGATGGCTGATTGGGGTTTGGTATACAACCTGGCCAGCTCCGAGACACGCACTCCACTTTCGTACTTAGTAATTATCTCTTTCTTCATTTCCATAGTAATTTTCACCCTTTTTACCACAGGGCTGGCACTAGAAGCTTTCTTGGGGCCCAAGGTGACTTATTTTGCAGCTGCAAGCACTAAAAACACTGTAATAATATGAAATGTACCGAATGTATGCTTAGATGTGACTGCACTGGCTGGCTTGTAAACACTGGCACCCACGGGGCAGCTGAGGCCACGCGTGGGATGTGTCCTGGATGAATCACGTAAGGCGAGTTTTTTATCGTGAGGCGAGTCAAAATTTTTGCGTTCAAATCCTTCGCATGGCGGATTTAACGTAAGGCGATGCGTTCGTAAGGCAAGGGTCAACTGTAGTAAAGTTTTTGGGAGTGTCAAAAGTTATATGCAAACTTTCGACTGCGCGGGGATATGGGGGAGGGGTCGGCACCCTTAACCCCTGTGTTGTTCAAGGGTCAACCCTACTTTTAAAACTGCCTACTGGTGCTCCTCGATTTATGATGTTTCAACTTATATTTCGACTTTACGATGGTGTAAAAGCTATCACTTTGGAGACTAAACTTAAGACAATTACCCAGCATGAAGGTGGCAATCTCTAATTTTTATTAATTTATTTACTTATTTAGTGACAGTTATTTATTTATTTAGAACATCAGATTCGACTTGCGATATTTTCAACTTACAATGGGTTTGTTAGAACCCCTTCATAAGTTGAGGAGCTCCTGTAATGAAAAAAAAGGCTAAGTCAAACTGCTTTAAGTAATGAAGTTACAAAATATGAAGAGTGCTTTGATGTGTCACTCAGCACTCCACAATGCTTGACTTTACTGTACTGCTTATAAATGTCTGCAGCATTGATGTGTTCCAAGAACTAGACAACTACTGTCATTTTAAGACTTCATGAATAAATCTTACCTTTTATCTTCCTGGGATACCTACTACCTCAAACTTGACAACTAAACCCTCCTCTTTGCACATAGAATTCATTAATATTTTTTTTTTTTTTATTCACCGGTACTCTCCCGGCCCGGGTCTTTTCCAAGTAGTGGTGACCCAGCCTTGGCTCCCTATCTGGGGAGTGTCTCGAGACGCAAGTCTCACATGGGAGGAGGTACAAGTACCCCCTCCAATATTTATATTGTATTTCCGTTTTCACTGAGAGGTGATGAACATGGGAAAAAGTTCCCAGAGCCTCATAAACATTCAAAAGGTATAAAAATTATCAGAGTAAATCACCCAAACAGATAAATATATCTATTCAGTTTCCATAGTCAAAGGCATATTTAAAAAATTCTATAAACTATACTACAAAATACTAAATAGGTAATGTAGTCTGCAAGAAGAATACTTAAGAAAATTTGGCCAGGTATTTTCACAATACATTTTCTTTTATTTACATTTCATTCTCATGGTGCAAAGTACTGCATAGATATATTTTTATTGTATTATAAAAGTGTACGTTTTAAAACATTCATGAAAATTAACCAAGTAGAAGATTGCATATTAGGGGGGAAAGATTTCTTAACTTTTATATATGTATTTTATATATACAGTGGACCCCCGCTTAACGATCACCTCCAAATGCGACCAATTATGTAAGTGTATTTATGTAAGTGCGTTTGTACGTGTATGTTTGGGGGTCTGAAATGGACTAATCTACTTCACAATATTCCTTATGGGAAAAAATTCGGTCAGTACTGGGACCTGAACATACTACTGGAATGAAAAAAGTTCGTTAACCGGGGGTTCACTGTATATTCAAGTTGGTCATTATGTAAAGAGAATCACTAGATAAAAAAAAAAACTTTAGGACACACATACCCGCCTCTTGAGAAGCGTGAACTTGGCATTGCACTGGTCACAATCTGACATGGGTGAAGTTGCAGGTGTAATGTTGGGAGCCACTTTTGGTGAGCACTTCCAGGCTTCACTACACCACCAAGACACTGGCCCACCACAACTTCCTCCTCCACCCAGCATAACTTTCACCTAGAGTGATCGTTGCATTGCAACGCGTCTCATCTGTTAATTACAGATGGACTTTTAATAACACTTGGGGGGAAAAAAAAGAAAAAGCATTAGTAACAAAATGCTGCAGTCATCTGAAAGGCTTAATTCCTATTAAGAAAATGTGATAGGTCATTGCAGTTACACAATTCATCAGGGGGGAGAGAAAAAAAAAAACAGGTCTATGCCTTAAGATGACTCTTTCTGCAGTGCAGGACCTGTGGCAGGAAAATGGCACGACTGTGTTAACCCTTTCAGGGTTTCGGCCGTACTAGTACGGCTTATGCACCAGGGTTTTTGATGTACTAGTACGCCTAAATTCTAGCACCCTCAAATCTAGTGAGAGAAAGCTGGTAGGCCTACATATGAAAGAATGGGTCTATGTGGTCAGTGTGCGCGGTATAAAAAAAAATCCTCCAGCACACAGTGCATAATGAGAAAAAAAAAACTGACCATGTTTTTGGATTAAAACAGCGACTTTGCACTGTATTTTCATATGATATTTATTGTTGTATTCTAGTTTTCCTGGTCTCATTTTATGGAAGACATATTATAGAAATTGAGATGATTTTGACTGGTTTTACAAAGAAAGGTACCTTGAAATTGAGCTCAAGTAGCAGAAATGTTCGATTTTTACCAAATTTCAAAAGTAAACAAATCATGCTATGCGTCCAATTACACGTCAACTGGCGAGTCTAATATTCTTTCACAAGTGCGCCGATATTATTTATACCATTTCTACACTAATGCAGTAGTCTGCATAACAGGAAATCTTCCATTTTTTGTGAGAATAAAAATTCAAAGTGGAAAGCAAAAGAATGCAAGAGGGGCCTGGGGACGTGACTAATGAACAGAGGAAATGTTATTTTAGTGCCAGGAATGTCTTTCTTGTTTATTCTGGACCCTATTTGGAAATTGGCATCTTTCGAAATTTGTGTGAAATTGGCAAAATTGCTAAATTCTGACCACTGTATTGGATAAGTTGAAATCGGTAAATGGGTGGTTTCTTGTACAGGAGGGCCCCGCTTTACGGCGTTTCACTTTACGGCGTTCCGCTAATACGGTCATTTCAAATTATGACCAAAACTCGCTATACGGCTCCCCCCACCTGACTTTCTAATACGGTCACCGCACCCCACCCTGTTTGTTTACATTCTTCGTGAGCTCAGTAAGCACTAAGTCTCTCCATTTTGTCTGGAAACTCCAAAATTTCAAATGTTTTTAAAAGTTATTTCATATTTTATATATACTCTGATAATTATACTTATGTATACCTGTACTTAAATAAACTTACATACTGTGCTGGCATGCAGGTACACATTAAAATCAGTAAGAGTGTCTTATGTCTCCAGACGTCATATTAGTAATGATTATAATAATAATCGAGTCTCATTTAAATGTCGTATATTATGTTAAATACACATTTTCATTAATCCATCTATGATATTTTTTCAAAATTATATAATAAACACGATACATAACATAAAAAGATGATAAATACACCCCACAATAGAATAAATAAACATAAATATGAGATGTGGTAGCAGACGACTTGCACAAGTGACGCCATATTAGAAATAATAATAATAATAATAATCACCGAGTCTCATTAAATGTTGTATATTACGTTAATACACACATTTTCATTAATCCATCCATTATATTTTTTTCAAAATTATATAATAAACACGATACATAACATAAAAAGATGATAAATACACCCCACAATAGAATAAATAAACATAAATATGAGATGTGGTAACCAGATAACTTGTACAAGTGACGCCAAGAATAACATTTTCTCTAATCTAACATAAGAGAAAATGTGTTACTGGGGGTAACTGTAGAAAATTATTCCTTTCGTATGTATGTAAGTAAGTTTATTCAGGTATACACAAATACAGTTACATAGATTATCATACATAACAACATATGTGTAGAGAACCTAGGATAACCCAAAAAAGTCAGAGTGACTTATTTCCATTGCCTTCACTCAGAGCATCATTTCTTCTCAAAATGATGTTACATGAGAATGGGAGTGTTCTTCTTTATTTATTCTACCGTATCAATGTAGAGACAACCTGTACACAATGTAACTTGTACACAAACCAGTCGTGTACACTTCGTTTACAAAACTTACCTTCGCCTGGTTTGTTTACATAACTCTGCGCCTGTACTCTCTCATGCACTCATTCTTTCCCTCTCTCATTTATTCGTTTTATCTCATTTACTTACTCCTGACCCTACATTAAGACTACAAATATTTTAAGGTAAGTAATGAGTGAACTGTATATACATTTTATCGCTCTGGGATGCTTAAATATCATAGAATTGTATGTGTGGGTGGGGTGGCCTGGTATGGTAGCCTGGCTGACTACCATACATACCACACTTGATTTCTTACAATAAATACTACTTGTCTCACCCTAGATTAAGACTATAAACATTTTAAGGTAAGTAATGAGTGCACTATGTGTGTATTGTACTTTTTTATTGTTTTTTGATGCCTGGTTCTATTGCTAACTTAATATATGTTAGTGTAAACTTGTTATCTAGTGTTTGTATGCATTTGTAAGTGGAAAAAAAGGGTGTTCCACTTTACGGCGGTTTCCGCTTTACGGCGGTAGCCTGGAACCTAACCAGCCATATAAGTGGGGCCCTCCTGTATTCATTCGATAGAAAAAATGGAGTTCTAGCAAAATAGTTCTGATTTTTGTCGACAAGTACACTGGAATTGGCCGAAAATAGGGCTCAAAGTGGGCAAAATCGCCAATGTGTAAACATCGTCGAAACCGCTAACTTCGCAAGAGCATAATTCCGTAAGTTTTCCATCAAATTTCATATTTTTGGTGTCATTATGATCGGGAAAAGATTCTCTACCTTTCCATTAGAATTTTTTTTTTTTTTTTTTGAAATTTGGCCGACCCTGAGAACAAGTCTCTGTGAGGGCCTGTCGACCCTGAAAGGGTTAAAGGACATATGAAAGTGGGACTGCCAAGAGTGATAGACCTATGGTGGGCCATGTCAGCAGCAACTGCTAGCTTACTGATGCTTAATTTAGTTATCACAATGTGGATGCACTTAAAAAAAAAAAAATCATTCAGAGGTGCCACAGAGCTGAAACCTATGCTATTACAGTGTAACCTCGGTGTTCATATGCCTTAGTTTTCGTAAAATTCGGTTTTCAATGATTTTTTTTTTGTTGAAATTTTGTCCCAGTTTTCGTATATCCACTCTGTTTTCATATAGTCGAAAATGGTCCGTACCAAACTCGTCTACCTGCCTGCATGACATGGCCACTCATTTCCAGGAATCGAGCGCCCACACAAAGCATCCCATGCATTTGCAACTCAGTCTGCCTTTGTTTCTCGTTGAGTGAGCATCACCTCGCGTGTTCATCCGAAAAATTTCGTAATAATCCATTTTTGTGCTTATTTATTGAGTGCAACTGCTAAATAAGCCACCATGGGGCCAAAGAAAGTTCCGAGTGCCAGCCCTTTGATAAAGAAGGCAAGAAACAATGGAATTCAAGAAAGAACTCGTAGCACAGTATGTAAGTGATGTACGCATGGTCAACCTCGCCAGGATGTACGGGAAGTCCACATCAATGATCAGTTCCATCCTGGAGAAGAAACAAGAAATCAAGGAAGCTGATATTGCGCAAGGGGTAAATGTGTTTGGCCTCACTGTGAAGAAATATCTCCTGGAAAATCGACTGCCACTCAAGTGGCTTGGAAGACCAATTGTTGGAGGAGTTTAGTTTCATCACAGTGAAGTTCTTGCGCCCATGGACAAGCAGGTCATTTCAAACTTCAAAAAACTCTACGTCAAAGCACTATTTCAAAGGTGCTTTGAAGTGACCTCAAGACACTGAATCGACTAAGAGAGTTCTGGAGGAGTCACTTCAATATCCTCAATTGCATAAGCCTTATAGATAAGACTTGGCAGGGAGTGACTTCAAGGATGATGAACTCTGCTTGGAGAAAATTGTGGCCAGAATGTGTCCACGAGAAGGATTTTGAAGGGTTTGAGGCTGACCCTGATGACCTTATGCCTCATTGTTTTCTGTATGTAAAACTTGTTATTCTCTATAAAATGTATTTTTTGTTAATATTTTTGGGTGTCTGGAACGGATTAATTGGATTCACATTATTTCTTCTGGGAAATATTGCTTCAGTTTTTGTACGATTTGGTTTTCAGACTTTTTCGAACGGATTAATCACGAAAACCAAGGTTCCACTGTATACCATATTTCCTCGTGTATTTTCAATAAAACATAAAATATACACAAATATGCAATTATTGTCTGCTTGGCAGAGGAAAAATGCATGCAAAACAGAACTGTACCAAGGGTAAAAGTACACATTAACCCTATCAGGGTCCGTGCTGTAGATCTACGGCTTTACGTTCAGGGTCCAAACCGTAGATCTACATCATGAGCTCAGCTCACTCTGATAAGTTGTGAGTGGTAAATTTGGGCCTAGATATGAGAGAATACATCCATGTGGTATGTGTGCACCACATAAAACAAATCCTGCAGCACACAGTGTACAGTGGTCCCTCGTTTTTCGTAATTCTCGGGAATCTTAGATTTCGGAAATCATAGGGATATTTTCGTATAAACATGGGCTCGCTAATCATAGGTTGACTCGCGAATAGTAGTTCGTCCAGGACGCGTACGCACTTTGTGAACCAGGGCGGCCTCCCTACCCAGCCAGTCTGGCATTGTTTACCAGTAAGCGAAGGTCCCCTCACATGCTCCTACGAAATATTTCATAATATTCCACTCATTTTAGTACTTGCAAGTACTAAATAAGCTACCATGGCTCCAAAGAAAGCTCCTAGTGGCAAGCCTGTGGTAAAGAAGGTGAGAAATACGATTGAATTTAAGAAAAACATCATTGAACAATACGAAAGTGGCACAAGTGCAGCCGAACTGGCCAAGATGTATAAGAAACCCTACACAACCATATGTTCCATAGTGGCCAAGAAAAAGGAAATCAAGGATGCTGTTTTTGCAAAGGGGGTAACTATGCTGACAAAAATGAGATCACCAGTACTCGAAGATGTTGAGAAGTTATTATTGGTGTGGATAAACGAGAAACAATTAGCAGGAGATACTCTTATGACTTCAATTATTTGTGAAAAGGCTAGGCAGTTGCACAACGATCTGGTAAAGAAATTGCCTGCAAATAGTGGTGATGTGAGTGAATTTAAGGCCAGCAAAGGTTGGTTTGAGAGATTTAAGAACCGTACTGGGATACACAGTGTGGTAAGGCATGGTGAGGCTGCCAGTTCGGACCACAAGGCAGCTGAAAAATATGTGCATGAATTCAAGGAGTACACAGAGGCTGAAGGACTGAAACCTGAACAAGTGTTCAATTGTGACGAAACAGGCCTCTTTTGGAAGAAAATGCCAAAGAGGACCTTCATTACACAGGAGGAAAAGGCAATGCCAGGACACAAGCCTATGAAAGACAGGCTGACGCTCATGTTCTGTGCTAATGCTAGTGGGGATTTCAAAGTGAAGCCATTACTAGTGTACCATTCTGAAAATCCCAGAGTGTTCAGGAAAAACAATGTTATGAAGAGTAAACTGTGTGTGTTTTGGAAATCTAATAGTAAGGCATGGGTCACGAGGGAAATTTTCGTCGAGTGGTTCAATGAAGTGTTTGGCCCTAGTGTGAAGAATTACCTCCTGGAAAAGAAATTGGTTCTCAAGTGCCTACTAGTAATGGACAATGCACATGCTCATCTTCAAAACTTGGATGACCTAATTTTCGTCTGTTTGGGTTCATCACAGTGAAGTTCTTGCCCCCGAATACCACTCCTCTCCTCTCCTCCAGCCCATGGACCAGCAAGTCATTGCAAACTTTAAAAAACTCTACACCAACGCAATGTTTCACAGATGCTTGACTGACCACAGACTCTTACTTGACCCTAAGGGAATTTTGGAGAGAACACTTCAGCATCCTCCACTGCATAACCCTTATAGGTATGGCTTGGGAGGGAGTGACTACCAGGACTTTGAACTCTCTTTGGAGAAAACTGTGGCCAGATTGTGTCCACAAGAGGGATTTTGAAGGGTTTGGGACTGACCCTGATGAGCCTATGTCTGTTGTTAAATCAATTGTGGCACTGGGGAGTTCCATGGGGTTGGATGTGAGTTTGGAGGATGTGGAAGAGTTGGTGGAAGACCACAACGAAGAGCTCACCACTGAGGAGCTGCAAGAGCTTCAGCAGGAACAGCAACAGATCGCAGCTCAGAATCTTGCTGCAGAGGAGGAGGAAGAGAGATGGAAGAAGGTGCCTTCTTCAGAAATTAAAGAGACTTTTGCTATGTGGGGTAAATGGAAAGCTTTATGGAGAAACATCACCCTGACAAGGTTGTTGCAAGCCATGTTGGCAACATGTACAGTGTCAAAGTCTTGGGCCATTTTAGGGAAATGTTAAAGAGACGCCAGAAACAGAGCTCTCTCCACAGTTATTTTGCGAGACAGGACTCCAGTGACTCTCAAGCTGGTCCTAGTGGCATTAAGAAACAGAGAAGAGAAGCAACCCCAGAAAAGCAATTGGTACCTGAGGTGTTGCTGGAAGGGGATTCCCCTTCCAAACTGTAAACAATCCAATCTCTCTCCTCCTCCAGTCTCCCATACACTAAGAAGAATCTCCAATAAAGGTAAGTGTTATGCTGTTAATGTTTCATTAATCATTTCCCATTGTATTGTTTATGTACTACATCTATATTTCACGTAAAAATTTTTTTTGTTTTAATACTTCTGGGTGTCAGGAACATATTAATTGTATTTACATTATTTCTTATGGGGAAAATTGATTCACAAATCGTAGATTTCGATAATAGTAGCAACTCCAGGAATGGATTAACTACGAAAAACGAGGGACCACTGTATAATGAGAGAAAAAACTGAGACCGTGTTTTTCGATTAAAACAGCAACTTTGCAATGTTTTTCGTATGTTTTTAACCCTTTGACTGTCGCGGCCGTATATATACGTCTTACGAGGTACCGTGTTTGACGTACGTATATATACTCATAAATTCTAGCGGCTTCAAATCAAGCAGGAGAAAGCTGGTAGGCCCACATGTGAGAGAATGGGTATGTGTGGTCAGTGTGTACCATATAAAAGAAATCCTGGAGCACGCAGTGCATAGAGAAAAAAAAACTCCGACCGTTTTTTTAATTAAAATGCTGACTTTGTGGTCTATTTTCGTATAGTATTTATGGTTGTATTCTTGTTTTCTTGGTCTCATTTGATAGAATGGAAAACATATTATAGAAATAGTGGTGATTTTGATTGGTTTTACTATAAAAAGAACCTGGAAATAGAGCACAAAGTAGGGGAAATGTTTGATTTTTGCCTATGTTCAAAAGTAAACAAATGATGTCATTGTCCAATAAATGTCCAACTAGCCATTCTGATATGCAGTCATGAATGGGTTGATGTTATTTATACAATTATTACAGTATTGCAGTAGTCTGCATAATAGTAAGTCTTCTGTTTTTTGTTTGAATAAAAATTCAAAATAGAAAGCAAGAGTAATATCAGAGGGGCCTGGAGACATGACTGATGAACAAAGAAAATGTTATTTTAGAGCCAGGAATGTCTGCATTGTTTATTCTGGATCCTATTTTGAAATTGTCATATTTTTTAATTTTCGTGAAATTGGCCAAATTGAAAATTTCTGACCATATTATTGGGTAGTTGAAATCGGTAAATGGGCAGTTTCTTGTACTCAATCGATAGAAAAAATGGAGTTCTAAAGAAATAGCTACGAGTTTGGTCGACTGGAAGAATGGAATTAGCCGAAAATAGGGCTCAATGTGGGGGAAATCGCCGATTTGTAAATATCGCCGAGGTCGCTAACTTCATGAGAGCATAATTCCGTCAGTTTTCTATCAAATTTCGTTTTTTTTGGTGTCATTACAATCGGGAAAAGATTCTCTATCATTTCATAAGAAAAAAAAATTTTTTTTTTGAAATTTTGCGACACCAGGAGACACCTCAGGATTGGGGGTTGCGACAGTCAAGGGGTTAATAGTTGTATTTCCGATTTCTTGGTCTCATCTCTATGGAAATGGATATGATTTTGATTGATATTATTACTGGCAAGGACTTGAAACTGAGCTCAAAGTAGCTTAAATGTTAAATTTTTTTCGATGTTCAAGAGTAAACAAACGACCTCACACGTCTAATACACGGCAGCGGGTGGGTCTAATATACATTCACAAATGTGGTGATGATATTTATACAATTATTACAATATTGCATAACAGTAAATCTATTTTTTTGGTTTGAATAAAAATTCATTATGTGAATAAAAAATCAAAATGGAATTAATTTGTAAAGCCTCAAAACATAACTAATGAACAGAGGAAATGTTAGTTTAGTGCCAGGAATACCTACATTGTTTATTCTGGACCTTATTTTGAACTTGGAATATTTTGAACTTTGTGTTAAATTGGCCAAATTACCAATTTCCAATCACTTTATTTTGTAGTTGAAACAGTTGACTTGGCGATTTCTTGTGCTCAATCAATAGAAGTAATACTAGTGAAATAGCTAAGAATTTGGTCGACTGGAATAATGTAATTGGCCTAAAATGGGAGTCAAAGTCGGCAAAATCGGATTCGTAAATATCGCTGACAACAAAATTTGCGAGAGCATAATTTCGTCAATTTTCCATCAAATTTCGTACTTTTTGTTTTATTACCTTCAGAAAAAGATTCTCTACCATTTCATAAGAAAAAATAATTTTTTTTTTTTTTTGAAAATTCTTGGACCCTGGTGCACACTTTGAAATTTGGCCTCTGGGCCCTGAAAGGGTTAAATTAACATTTATTTAATACACTGTACTGCCTCAGCATCTTTGAATACCACGCAGGCAAAGTCTCCTAATCACTCTCTCTTGTAGGGATTATTGACAGATTCAAGAAACCAGTTTGTGTATCTGCAACTTGTATACTAATGTCTCTGATAGACTGAACAAATGTTTATTCCAATGCTGGGGCTATTATAGGTTTGACCCTGGTATGGAAAAACTGGCTTATTGTATTCCAATGCCATGTGTATTTGTACCCTCTATTATCTATTGTCTTTTCTTTCTCTAGAATATTTTTCGTTCTGCTTAAAAAATTACTTTTGGTTTACCATGCTTTCATTTTCTTGATAAGACCTGGATAGGCTGATGCTATGGTCAGCAGATGTAGCAGATGCAGTTTAATTTGACAAGTGTAGGCGTTAATCCTGAAAAAAAAAATCGTGTTATTAATTAAATAATGTCGATATAAAAATAAGAAAAAATTTAGCAGTTATGGTTAACAGAAATCTAAAACCAAGACAACAGTGAGGAAGTGTTCACAAAGGTAATAGAAAGCTTTATTTCATTAAGAAGTTTAAATATGGTACAGTAGACCATTATTTAGCTCGAGTTTATTTGGCACGATTTGAGTATAGCACAACTGAAGAATGCGACACATTTTTACGTAACATGTCGTATGATCAATTTAACACAATTCGTGGAGGGAAAAATTTTTGAGTGTGCAGTCACTCGGTTGCCCGCGGTGGGTTATACCACTGAGTCAATGGGGGAGGCCTACTGCCACCCCCTCCACCACCCACACCCACTCCCACCACGCTCCCAGCCTCCAGTTTGATTCATACGCATGCAGGACGGAGGTACTCGGGAACCCAGCTGTGTTTATATACATACATATTTTCTTAATTTCATTGCCATTTGTTAAATTTGCCAAGCAATAATGGCACCCAGTAAGCATACAAGTGTTGCTGAAAGTGACAAGAAAAGGTTTAAGCATTCAAGTCTAGGAATTGTGAAGAAAATTGAGATATTAGACAAGTTAAAGAGTGGATCACATGTGGTGGATATAGTGAGGGTCTATGGCCTTAATGAAGCATCGGTTCGTACAATTAAAAAGAACGAGGCGAATGTACGAGCTTGTGTAATGAATAACCCAAGATGTCATCTCATGAAAAGAATAACACGTTGGTCCCAACAAGTAAATAAAACAGAAAACTTGTTGCCTGAGTGGATTGAACAAAAGACTAAGAAAGGTGCACCACTTAATTTCCTCTTAATTAGGGAAAAGGCCTTACATTTGTTTAAAGCAGTGCGTGTTAAGGAAGGATAGCCTGAAAAAGTGTGTGTGCTTCAGCTGATCATACAGCAGCAAGTAATTTTCCTGCTGAATTGCAGGAAATTATTTCCGAGGATGGCTATGAGCCACATCAAGTGTTTAATGCTGACGAGACAAGTGTTTTTTGGACAAAAAAAAAAATGCCAACACAAACTTACATCAGTCAGCAGGAGAAGAGTGCACTGGGCTTCAAGGCAGCAAAGGACTGCTTCACCTTGCTCCTTTGCAGTAATGCATCAGGTGATTTCAAGTGTAAGCCCAAGGTTATTTACTGCTCTAAGAATCTTCGTGCTTTGAAAAGTGTAGATAAAAACACCTTACCAGTAATCTGGAGGTCAAACCAGTCAGCATGCATGACAGAGGAAATATTTATTGACTGGTTTAAGCATCACTTTATTCCTGAAGTCAAGTTTTACCTGTACAGCAAGAACCTTGCATTAAAGGCTCTCTTCATTCTTTATAATTCTCATACTCATCCACAAGCTTTGCTGGATGTGACCCATGTAAAAGTTGTATTTTTACCTCCAAATACAACACCTTTAATATGACCACTGGATTGGGGAGTTATTAAGCCATTCAAGTGTAACTACACAAAAAAGTTATGAAAAAACTAGTTGCATCAATGGACTCTGACTCCAACTTGGCAGTACCATCCTTCTGGAATAAATTTAACATTGCAGATGCAGTGCTTTGAAATGGGTCTAGACCAGCTGATGATGCCTTACCATCAGCTGAATATATGCACATTCCAATACAACCATCGACTTCAGTACCAGAACCTCTACCATCCACTTCTGTCAACAACCAACAACCATCTACCTCAGCCCAGTAGGGCCACACCATCCATATCCACTCTCTCCACAATCAACACACACCAGTACCCACAATTTAAGGTAAGAAATACTATTATTTCTATTGCATTTGTAGTCTTAAGCAGTAATATATCACAACAATGAACTACAATTACATGTTCACTTTTATTTTTGTAAGATCTGTTGGTCTAAAAAAAAGTTGTCTGGCTTTTTGGGGCTCCCAGGAATGTAACCTTATTTTTCCTATAAGTTCTTCAGTTAATTTAGCACGATTTTACCTAACATGGCATTTTCAGGAACGTAACTGTGCTAAAAAACGGTCTACTGTATTCTGTCATATAAGGCGAGCCTTTTTTCGCACGAAAAAGTCCATGAAAAATCAGCCTGTGCCTTATATGCCCAAGGTCAGGATCAAGGATAGGCTTTGGGTTATGCTTTAATGTAAAACAAGAAGGTAATTAGCCCTTAACCCTTTGAGGGTCGACAGGCCCTCTCCGAAACTCGTTCTCAGGGTCGGCCAAATTTAAAAAAAAAAAAAAAAAAATTATTTTCTCTTATGAAAAGATAGAGAATCTTTTCCCAATCATAAAGACACCAAAAGTTTGAAATTTGATAGAAAACTTACGGAATTATGCTCTCGCAAAGTTAGCGGTCTCGGCGATGTTTACGCATCGGCGATTTTGCCCACTTTGAGCCCCATTTTCGGCCAATTTCACTGTACTAGTCGACAAAAAACATGAATATTTCGCTAGAACTCCATTTTTTCTATCGAATGGGTGCAAGAAACCACCCATTTATGAAATTCAACTATCCAGTACAGTGGTCAGAATTTAGCAATTTTGCCAATTTCACACAAATTTCAAAAGATGCCAATTTCCGAACAGGGTCCAGAATAAACAAGAAAGACATTCCTGGCACTAAAATGACATTTCCTCTAGTCATTAGTCACGTCTCAAGGCCCCTCTTATATTCTTTTGCTTTCCACTTTGAATTTTTATTCTCACAAAAAATATAAGATTTACTGTTATGCAGACTACTGCATTAGTGTAAAAAATGGTATAAATATTATTGGTGCACTTGTGAAAGAATATTAGACTCACCAGTTGACGTGTATTGCACGCTTGGCACGATTTGTTTACTTTTGAAGTTTGGTAAAAATTGAACATTTCTGCTACTTTGAGCTCAATTTCAAGGCACCTTTCATTGTAAAACCAGTCAAAATCATCTCAATTTCTGTAATATGTCTTCCATTCTATAAAATGAGACCAAGAAAACTAGAATACAACAATAAATACCATACGAAAATACACTGCAAAGTCGCTGATTTATTCCAAAAAATGGTCAAAGTTTTTTTTTTCTCATTATGCACTGTGTGCTGCAGGATTTTTTTTAGACTGTGCACACTGACCACATAGACCCATTCTTTCATATGAAGGCCTACCAGCTTTCTCCCACTAGATTTGAGGCCGCTAGAATTTATGCGTACTAGTACGTCAAAAACCCCTACGTGTAAGACGTACTAGTACGACCAAAACCCTCAAAGGGTTAAATATGATTACTGACTTACTGTTATGACACTCCTGTCATGCACCTTATATGCGGTAGGGAAAAACTTTCAGTGCCGCAAGCTGACTGAGCTGATTTACTGAATGACTTGAATGAGCGACTTACTGTATTGAATGACTGTATTGAATGACTGTACTGACTTGACTGACTGACCTACTGACTCACTTCATTGGACTGACTTACTGGACTACCATCCACCTCAGCCCAGATGGGCCTCAGCGTACCTCTGCACTCCCTCTTTCACAATCATCGACAAACACCAGCAACCATGATTTAAGGTAAGAAATATTATTTCTGTTGCATTTTTAAGCCCTAAGGAACAGAAAAAACTTACATTGTAACAACAATGAACAACTGCATCATTTTTTAAGATTTGGAGACATAGAAAAAATTTTTTTCTAGGGGGTTTTCTCAGGAACGTAACCCTGTTTTTCCCCTAAGTTCTTCAGTTCCTTTAACACAGATTCGTCTAACACTGCATTTTCAGGAACCTAACTACCATCTTAATTGGCAATTCACCATACTTCATTTTGATTATGCTCACTTCTGTCTCCATTTTCCAGAATGGCCAGAAATGCACTCAAATACAGAAAAGGATGACTAAGTTATTATATCAGTATTGGAAAGTGTTCCCATAAAGACAAGCTAAAGGCACTAAATATGCACGCCAGAAAGGTGTGGAATTAGTGGTGATATGACACAGTTGCTCTTTGCTGATGACACTGTGCTCTTGGGAGATTCTGAAGAGAAGTTGCAGAGGTTGGTGGATGAATTTGGTAGGGTATGCAAAAGAAGAAAATTAAAAGTGAATACAGGAAAGAGTAAGGTTATGAGGATAACAAAAAGATTAGGTGATGAAAGATTGGATATCAGATTGGAGAGAGTATGGAGGAGATGAATGTATTCAGATATTTGGGAGTGGACGTGTCAGTGGATGGGTCTATGAAAGATGAGGTGAATCATAGAATTGATGAGGGGAAAAGGGCGAGGGGTGCACTTAGGAGTCTGTGGAGACAAAGAACTTTGTCCTTGGAGGCAAAAAGGGGAATGTATGAGAGTATAGTTTTACCAAGGCTCTTATATGGGTGTGAAGCATGGGTGATGAATGCTGCAGCGAGGAGAAGGCTGGAGGCAGTGGAGATGTCATGTCTGAGGGCAATGTGTGGTGTGAATATAATGCAGAGAATTTGTAGTTTGGAAGTTAGGAGGAGGTGCGGACATGTAGAGAGAATGGAGCGAAACAGAATGACTTCAAGAGTGTATCAGTCTGTAGTGGAAGGAAGGCAGGTTAGGGGTCAGCCTAGGAAAGGTTGGAGGGAGGGGGTAAAGGAGGTTTTGTGTGCGAGGGGCTTGGACTTCCAGCGGGCATGCATGAGCGTGTTTGATAGGAGTGAATGGAGACAAATGGTTTTTAATACTTGACGTGCTGTTGAGTGTGAGCAAAGTAACATTTATGAAGGGATTCAGCGAAACCGGCAGGCCGGACTTGAGTCCTAGAGATGGGAAGTACAGTGTCTGCACTCTGAAGGAGGGGTGTTAATGTTGCAGTTTAAAAACTGTAGTGTAAAGCACCCTTCTGGCAAGACAGTGATGGAGTGAATGATGGTGAAAGTTTTTCTTTTTTGGGCCACCCTGCCTTGGTGGGAATCCAGTGTGTTAATAATAATAATAATAATGACAAATGTAAAAATGGCAAGATAGGAATAATTAAAGG